CAGGCTTTCGTAGACATTTCAATAAAATTAGAGCTAGATAAAATAAAAAGATAAAGAAACCATCGGCGACATGCTTTTTTGAGCAGCAAATGACTTCTTCTGTCCATAAGTATCCGAAAGTGTGGTACTTTGCAAAGGATTTACAAAATAACTTTCTTCAAAATCCGCGAGCCGAATGTGAACAGTTTTCTGACATGTACCCATATACGCACAATAATTCGTAGAAATTACCTGATACGAATGGGGCACAGGGTATGCCGAAACGTCGAGGCTAAGGGCGTTTTTGGGTAGCATGGAATGTTTTGGACGGCCGTCCTGCCACGACAAACACCCAGAGTATGAGGCCACCCTGTCAAATGCTAACCAGCTGTCCAGGCGCTCAAACATATTTAGGAGATCACGGCATACAACACTGTCGAGCAGAATCCTTCCCTAGGCCCGCCAGTTCTGCCAAGTACCCTGCTTGCAACGAGCAGAGCGCATTTCGTGGTGTCTGGAAAATACTGGAGGCCGGGCGAGACATACACGTCTTCCGTCACTGGTTCGCCCTAGGAGAAAATAGAAAATCATCAGAGCCTGCTTCTCAATAGCGGGGCATGGGGGGCGCCCGGGGGCGGCGGGGGCGGCTTGTCGTAGCGGCCGTAGCGGGGCACCGTTTTTTAGCCCGCCCTTCTGCTTTTAAAAAAGTATTAAAGGGGGCTTATGCAACCGCTCTCGTGTCCGTCCGTCCGTCCGTCCGTCTGTCTGTCTGTCGTCCGTGTAAGAGGAAGGAGATGAGCTAGAGGTCTGCAAATTTCAGGGTATCTGAGGGGTCACTCCTGGACAACGAAACGTCTGGTGCAAATCCTGGCAACCATCCCTAAGGGGGTGAAAGGGGGTAACAAAGAAATAGGGGTTGGTCCGAAAAGTAGAAAATCAATTTTTAATGGTGCCCTAAGGGTACCTTGGGCGGAAATTTCGTCCGTTTGCCTCTATCTTGCACCGTTTGGGCGCTAGAGTTGTCTTTTCGACGAAAATACGGTGAAAATGACCACGTTGAACATGAAGACGTACGAGGAGGCGTCCAATCGTTAAATGTCAGAGGAAGTACCCCCCAACACAGCACATTCTGAGTCTGATGGTACCCTCCGATTTACCGTATCTTTAACTGTTTAGGAGCTAGAGGTAGATATATTAAAAACAATAGCAAAAAGTCAAGTTTTAAGACTGTTTGACAAACAATATACAATCTACAATATACAATCTGCGCGTGTGCTTTTGTTTTAATTGTTAAGCAAAGCAGAAGGGTGGGGTGTAGTCACGGTGTTGCCCCGTTACAGTCTTTTGTCATGTCCAAGGAGCAAATTTCTAGGGCCGCAGGCCCCTCACCGGACGCATTAGTTTACTCAAACATACAAAGTGATTTACGGGTCACATTATTTATTTGATTATGCACTTCGGTAAATCGCGAGACTGGCATGGTCAGGCCGAAGGCCCGACCGTCGCCGCCGGCAGGCCAAGCAGGCCCGGCCCCTGCCGAACGGAGTTGCCGGCGCAGCGAAGTGGAGCTGGCAACTTCGTTTGGCGGAAGGGCGGGCCTGCTTGTTTGATGTTTGATCCGCCGTCCGTCACAAACGCGTGCACTCGGTTGTAATCAATTTGCCAGTCGGAGCATATTTCCCTTATGGCTGCTCTCAGATTTTCACTGGTTTTTCTTTCAGGCATGTGGCGAGCACCAATCTCATTAGGGTATTGGACTAGAGCGCTCAGCGAAGTAGAAGAACAAAAACGGAAGGTGGAAAGGTGCCCGTGCCGCCTCCTCTTCTCTCCGGGCGCTCCCCCACTCCGCCCAGTAGAGGAGAGGGGGGCGGCACGGGCACCTTTCCACCTTCCGTTTTTGTTCTTCTACTTCCGCTCAGCGCTCTAGACCAATACCCTATACACTCACATTCA